CGCCGCGTAGCAAATTTCACAACGTACTTGAAGTTCAATTGTGCCCCAAAATGATGTCGACGATCACTCAATTGTCGCAGCACATGTTGTACCAAGTCCATGATACACCTCGTTTCGACTTTGGCTTGCTTTTCCTTCTTAGTGCATGTTCTTGTTCACATAAATGCGACCTCTCACCAATGTATTAAAACACTTTGAATTTATACTTATGCTTGATTATATTTGGTCTACGTGAAACATTAATCTTTCTAAACATTTTCTGAGACCATGCATGACATATATTCACAAAATAATGCGATCATATTTTATATTATGTTGATCTCTACGTCTTTCTGGATCGTTTTGTGATTTTATTCCAAGGCTCAGGCAAATAAATTAATGTCAACTATTATAGACCAGTTTCCTAGCTTTTGGCTCAGCCAAATTGGTTTAATTTTTCATTAGAACTTTGTGATCCTTTTAATTTCCCAGTTCCTTGTGTTCATTAATGTTCAGTAATGGCCGGACAGCCGGCGCCATGGAATCTATGCATAAATTTGCATAAAATGCGGTCGACCGGCGAGCACCCACCACCACCGCGGTAATGGCCGCGGTGCACCGCCCGTTTGATTTCCTACTCTCCCTTTACCTACATACCGAGTATCAAAGGAATTGAGCTGGTAGTTTTCAAGGAGACAATGAAAATGTAAATGTTTACAAACGGACAATCACCGATATGAACAGCTCCACTCTGTCATCTACGAAGACAACAGATCTAAAAACTGTAGTAGTCTCCTATGTTTAGAGTTGAGAGCTTCTGCACAAAAGCATGCAATCTAGTCCTAGATTAGTAGTCATATTTTAACACAACGGCTCCTGATAGTCTCCACTGATATTTGGCTGATATGTATGGTATATAATGGTGGTTGTGTCAAGAGTGAATAAATCGGTAAGGCTAATGGTGCAATAATTATGTTAGGCTAACTTCACTAGAATTAAAATTGCAATGTAATAAACCACTTTAATTTTGCAAGACACGTGTCTTAGAGACGCAAACTTGTAGTGACATTGACAAAATTTTGTCCTCAGGATTTTAAAAAAAATCAGCAAATTGTGTCCTAGCAGCAGAGAAAATTTTACTTTGAATCAACATTCTTTTGAGAAATTAGGTCCTTGCGGACATACCTCATTCGAATATTGTCATCAACTTTTGTTTGTTAATGACAAAATTTTCCTGCATACTGAAGGTCAAAATAAAAATAGGTATGTGTGAATGTTCCAGATGCTTAAAATGTATGGGAACCAAACAGGGTTGTTTCAGACACACCCATATTTTAAAATTGTAGTTTGTCTGAGCCAGGCACTGATACTAAATACACTGTACTAATTATTTAAATTCTGGAGTGTAAAGCATGTACAGTATCACCAGATAGAATTTCAATGACCTGAGCCTCGGATAATTTGATGTCTTTGATCAATAATATAATTCCACATAGTGGTATATTGATATACTAAAATCAAAGGGAGACATTGTGCACTCAAGCACAGAATTATGTCTGAAATTTAGCATGTCACTTAGGGAAATTTATTATTGTAATAAATCAAATAATATGGATGTCAGTTTCTTAGATGATTTATTTTCCCTTAGAGAATGACTTAATGTCTAACAACATAGTGAATGTATGTTGCTCTGAATTCTGAACCATAGATATGATTCAAGCTGAATTTTTGTGTCAAGCACTTTTAAATAGTTCTTTCATGAAGCTTGTTTTTTATTTTATTATCACCTTATTGTACAGTGAACTGTTTATCATGTCTGTTGTTATTTACTTGGATGGTATTTTTTATGATCCAGGGCTGGCAAATACACAAGAGCTACTGATATAGAGCAAATATGGTAGATGCTCTCATAAAGTGCTATAGTCATTGCACCATGTTGTGTTCGATATGGGTCCCATGCAACACACACAGCACACGTAAAATACATTGACTGAGCGATAGCTGTGATTTCCACACATAGCAGCATGAACCCCAGATTGTCATAAACTAAACTTTGGAAATATTTGAAAATCAAAGATGCAATATAAATAAAAAAAAATGTTAATATTGTAAGATACTTCATTATGTAGACCAAATCGGTCTATGATTTATCATAAACTAAAAATCTTGCGTTTTCAGATCATCAGTGTTGGTTGGATGAAGAATCAAAACCACTACTACGCATGTGCAGTGATTTTCATTGAACACACCAAAACAAACGAATAATCACATGTACACAACAAGAATGGAATTTTCAGTTCATGATGAAACTTAATCCAATGTCTTCATTAATATATACTGTAGTATCAAATAATAATATCAGAAATTACATGTTCTCATCCATATTGAATCTATCTCTGTGATTTTCAACTAAATAACTTGCAGTTTTGCTTGCTAATAGAAAACCTTGGCTGGATATATATGTATATGACAGGAGAATGTAATATTGTGTGTGGAGGGGCTTTTTTTTTTTTTACCTGCATGAGTTTTCTTGACAAGTCATTTGTGAGGAACTCTTCTTCTTGTTCATAATTTACAGCTAACTTCTCTTTTTCTTTCTTCAGTGTTTGAATCTTCTTCAAAAGTGTATTGCTGATGAATTCTTCTTCCTGCTCAGCACGTGCTTGCTGAAATGAAAACAGGAAATGAATATAAAAAGCTAGTTTGCACAGATTGACTTTGTCAGCAATGCATTTACATAAACGTTTTGTACAGATATGTATCACCCTGTTGAACAGTCTAATTTTGTGAATTCAGTGTTTTGAAGCATTGTGGCTAAAATATGTAGGTCAGTGGAAAAATAAATCAATGAATATGAACCAAATTGTACAATGATATAATTCATCAGATCAATTCGTGACTGAGTAATTGTTCACTGTCAAATGATGCTCATCTTTAGTTTGTCTGTTACCTTAAAATACTACATTCATATACCACAGCGATATGACGATTCTGATGATATTCATCATTTCACTGCAAATGTTGCAAATGCAAGGTGCTGTATAAATGTTTTTTTTTTTTTTTCAATTCTACTCATGTGGATACACATTGTAATAATACATAGTATAACTGAACAAGCAGCATCTTGTCATTGAAAATGACAGTTCCCGGTTAAATTTTTGAAAGTTCTTTTTGTGCGTTTTCTTGAAACTTGAGTTCCAAGTAGTAATATGGCCAAAAATAAAAACAGCCGTTATTCGGCCATCTTTGATCTGATTATGAAACACACTGATATGTATGATGTATGTGCCAAATACGAATGAAAATGGTACATAAATTGTGGAAATATAGTAGTATGGCCAAAAAGTCAGATGGCTGTCAATCGGCCATCCTTGACCAGATTTTGAAACAAATTGTCATGGACATGCATCCTAACATGTATAAAGTACGGATGGACAGACACACGAACGGACAGACTCAGGAACTCACGGACGGTTGGGGACATGTATTCTAACGTGTATGATCTATGTACTAAATTTGAATGAAAACTGACAAAGCATGTCCAAAATACAACATTTTCAAAAAACAAGATGGCTGCCAGTCGGCCATCTTTGATCCAATTGTGAAATAAATCGTCATGGACATGTATCCTAATATGTATAATCTATGTACCAAGTTTGAATGAAAACTGACAAAGCATGTCCAAAATACAACATTTTCAAAAAACAAGATGGCTGCCAGTTGGCCATTTTGAATCGAATCGCTTAACCACTGCATGTGCATATGTCCCACATAACGTACTAGGAACATGCAAAGAATGAAGGGAATCGGTCAACAGGATTCTGAAATATGACTCTAGACAGACCGACACAAGGACGGATGGACAGACAGACTCAGGAACTCACGGATGGTCGGAGACATGTATCCTAACATTTATGATCTATGTACCAAGTCTGAATGAAAACTGGCAAAGCATGTCCAAAATACAACATTTTCAAAAAACAAGATGGCTGCCAGTCGGCCATTTTGAATCGAATCGCTTAACCACTGCATGTGCATATGTCCCACATAACGTACTAGGCACATGCAAAGAATGAACGGAATCGGTCCAAGGGATTCTGAGATTTGACTCCGAACGGACGCACAGACGGACGGACGGAGACCGAATTGTAAGTCCCCGTTTTCGGACTTCGTCCAAACGGAGACTAATAAGCTCTGCTCGACAAAGTCAACAGCAGAGCTAAAAAGTGACCATTAGTAAATGAGACATCTTTTGTTTTGTTTCGGTGATATATTACATAATGTCCTTTTTTTTGTGTCAGGCATCCAAAATGGTAAGCTTCATGTGAAAATTGTCCTAGAAATGTACAAGACTTGTTCACACTAAAGAGTAAATAAATTTGGTTTAGTATACTTTCAGATTTCAATTTCCAGATGGTTATTTAATTTAAAAATACTGTCATCTTCACCAGCCAAGACCAAAGCCTCAACATTAACCTTTGGCAGATTTCACCACTATTTACTGTATGCTGGACGCCCCCTCAAAGGATTACAAAATTCACTTGGGCTCATTTGCATTACCCAATCAGAACTCATGTTAGAAACGACACATTACTTGGTAAAATTAAAAATTTGAACTACATGAATTACATGTAGTTGGAAACTACATAGGGCACAACAAATTTTATGCTTTCATTTTCAGTTGACCCAATAGAGAGTGCTTGAAAATTGCCAAGATGGCGGCGACTATACGAGATCATACATGCGTAACTCTATTGATTTTTGTTTTTATTATTTAAATAAGTGTACATGCCTACTGCTATGTGGCCAACAATATTGACCTTTTCTTTAAGTACAATTCTTGGCTAAAAGTTAACGAGAAGCCTGTTTTAAAATGCTGTGCAAGTAATGAAAATAGTTAATGGTTTAGAGTGATTGCATGCTAACCTCATAATAAAGTTGTATCCTAAAATCATAAAAGTTATAGCGTTCATGAAATATCACAGTGATGCTAACTGATTTTGCTGATCAGAGTATGAATTGTTTCATCTAGTCTAAACAATCGTGCACTTCTAATAGAGCAAATACTGTAGTTGCCAAACCTTTGGTTTATGGATCCGAAAACTACGAAGTATAATGTATGGCACCAATTTCCACTAACAATTCCATTAATAAATTCAGTAGGACTATCATTGAACTTTGTGAGGTAATAAATTTGTTCATGTCTGTGTCCATATTTATATTGTTTACAAGACAGCATTTTATCACAGCAGAATGGTTCAGGCAAATATCTTAAGCAGGAGCCAAATTTGAAATCCTATATGACCTAACCCGACCATCTAAATAACTCAATGGTCAAGGGCCCTGTTGTAGCTGTGGCTATAAAATAAATGAGGTCTTATTTTGGCTCCTGTCTGGCTACAACCATATGAACACACCAGAAATTTAGAGGTTATTTGCCGCCAACATGAAAATATTTTTTATGTTTGATATTCTCACAAGTATTTGGTGTGGTATTTTCTTGTTGGTGGTGAATAACCTCTTTATCATACGTACAACAGCTCATACATGTATATAGCGTTAAAATAAGGCGTACAAACAAGCAGCCTCTCGGCTGAGATAACTCCGCTGTTAGCAATGCACATTTCAATTAAAGAACAGAAGATATCATTAGAAAATGAACAATATGCATAGTATCAATGCAATGGGACTTGCTGTTTTCAAAAATATAATTTTTGACCATAAATGATTGTGGTTTTTAACAAGAAGAAAATATCACTTTTTACCAAAAATGACAAAAATATTCATCAAAATTAGAGAATTAAATATATCATTACAAAATGAACAAATCTGAGAGAGGTCCACATGTAAGTACCTATATATGTAATATCAAAGCAATTGGACTTGCGGTTTTTAACAAGAAGTCGAAAATATCAATTTTTGCTGAAAAGACATTCTGGATGTTTTTTTATTTTCACTAATTTTTGACAAGTTCAATGTAAAATATAGGAAAAAGGGTATGTTCACTGGATTTAATTTTCACTGAATCATTCCTTCAGCAAAAATTAATTCCAAGCGAAAATAAAGTATTTTACAGTACATTTTTCAGTGACATAATTTGACCTTTGTAATTAATTTTAAACAGAGGTCATGTGAAGATGAGAAGACAAAAAACAGTTATAATTAATGAACAATGACAATATTTTTAAATATTAATTATTGGCATCTAAATGTATTTGCTGATCTAATCAAGTGTTTTACTTGGGGCGTTAAATGTTGTTTAGATGTTAATAAAGATAGGATGCTACATGTGGTAGCTCACATGACCTCATGTACATGTAGCATAAGCTAGGGGTTAAACTAAAGGCCCGTCTACCTGTCCCGGAGAAGCACAATGTAGAAATTACATGTTCTTGTTTACAATATATCAAATTTTTACAAACTGGCAACAAGTGATCCGTTGAAATAGCTCCACTGAGTGTCTTCCTCAAAACAAAGTTGATATTGTTCTGCACACAAGATATTCATGGTAGTTAAGTTTATTTGATTGTTGCCATGGCATTTACATCAATACAAACTTGCTACATGTACAACTCTCATAGATGTCAAGCCATGACCCTACATACCAAGTATCAAAGCAATTAAGCTGGTACATGTACATTTAGTTTTCAAGAAGAAGTCGAGAATAGCAGTTTTTACTAAAAGTGACAAAAACTAAAAAATAAAGAATTGAAGATATCGCCACAAAACTGACAAATCTGATAGAGATCTACCCAAGGTTCCTACAAACCAAATATCAAAGTAATTGAAGAAGTTGAAAATGTAATTGTTAACGGATGGACGACAGACAATCACAAATATGAACAGCTCCACTCTGTCACTTTTGATAAAAACAGATCCTAAGTCACGGCGCCAAAAACTATAACATGAACCAAGAATAAAAATATTATTATTAGTCATTTATTGCTAAGAATAGGTAGATAATAAAACATTATGTATTCCCAAACTTTAATTCTCGACCCCTGTAGGACAAATAATTTGTACCCTATACTCCTGTACTTGTATCAATAGGGACCTTGGAATACCACAAATAAGTTATCATTATGAAAATACTGATCACTAAATGTGAACTTTAAATAGTTTATATTACAGCTAAACCGGATCTACATTTAATCAAATCCTACATGTACATGTACCGCCTGTTTTTTCTTTAATCCATGGACATCCTGCCACAGTCATGAAATATTTGTTCCTGTACAAGTGGCTTCGTGTTACAAGCAAAAAGTGGCTTGAATTACACTGGCGCAGATAATATAAAGACTGTGTATATACTATATTGTTCAGCATTGATAGTATTTGAAATGAGTATAGCGAAAATGGGGAAGTTTCAATATCAAAGTCTGTGACAAGTATTGATACCATATTTGCTTCTTCAAAGATGATGTGCCATGTTCAAAATGGCTGAAACAGACAAATATGCAGTTGGTACATGTATCATGCTTTCAGCAATTTACAAAGAAAAGTAGTACTAGTACATGCCAACTGTAATTGTCTTTGTAGAATCAAAATCTGAATGCAAGGGACTTCCTTCCACCAAGTAATATTTCATTTATATTATATAGTACCGTAATATGAAGGCTATAGGTAGTTCTGAACCATCAAATCAACATCACCAATGAGACCGGCT